TGTATGTATGTATGTATATGTATATGTATATGTATAGGTGTATAATATATATATATATATCATATATGTCTATATGTGTTTGTGTTTGTGTTGTGTTTGTGGTATGTATATATATCTGCGTCTGTGTCTGTGTCTGTGTCTGCATATATATATATGTGTGTGTGTCTGTGTCTGTGTCTGTGTCTGTGTCTGTGTCCGTGTCTGTGTCTGTGTTTGTGTTTGTGTTATATATATATGTGTGTGTGCCTGTGTCTGTGTCTTTGTCTGTGGCTATGTGTGTGTATATATACACATACATATATGTATATATATATACATATATATCTATATTTATTTGTATAAATATATACATATATATCTATATATATGTCTGTGTATGTGTCTGCGTCTGCGTCTGCGTCTGCGTCTGTGTGTCTGTCTTTGTCGGTGTGTCTGTGTATAATATATATATATATATATATATATATATATACATGTCTGTGTCTGTGTCTTTCTTTGTGTTTGTGTTTGTGTTTGTATGTTGCTGTGTGTGTGCTTGTGTGTGTATCTATATGTATATATGTGGTCAGCTCTAATCGCCCATAGTGTGTCCAAATATACACTATTCATACTTCTATTTGCGCTTTCGAATCAGAGGTCTGCTCTGTTATAATTTTCGTCTATGGATTATCAGTGAATTGCTTGCCCTGATGGTCATTACCTCATTTCTTTTATTCATCTCTATTATTTATTGCCCCAGCTGACACGGGAGTCTCAGCCGCGGACAAGAAGAAACTCACCGCAGATCCGCCCAAGGGGGAGAAGACCAACGTTGTTGATGTGAAGGACACCAAAGCCAGTGCACAGCCCCCCAAAACCCAAACGCAAGCATCTGGACGCAAAGTGGAGGCTAATCAGAAGGTGGAGACTGTACCCAAAAGTAAGGAAAGTTACGAGACAGTAACCAAACCTCCTACCGACCCGAAGCAGATCGTGACTGAGGCCCAAAAAAAGGCGCCCAAGGCTCCTGAGAAGGCCGCTGCAAACAAGGCTGCTGATGTGAATGAGTACAACAATAAGGAGTACTACTCTCACAACAAATATTCCTACTATGATCTGGAGAACAAGATACACAGCTACGGTAACCGTGTGGAGCAACCTGATGGGAGTCGTCGTTAAACACTCCATGGGAGATCACCGCGATAAGCAACGCTGAGCTTTTTCAAAGTGGATGCGTGCGGATGTATCGGAAGGAATACAGTGCAATATATGTTTGTGATTCTACAACATCTCCAAATTTCCTTGAATTTGGCAAGTTGAGTATCTTAATAAAACAACAGGTTTCAATACCCTTTGGTTCGCTCGTGCTCTTATAAGTATTCCATTCGAGGCTGGTGGATACATTGTGCTTCTCCAGGAAATGCTAAGAATGGATATGTGCTATGCCCTTTATGGTGCCAATTGCATACATTAGCCTAGCATGAAACATGACTTCAATATATATCTGCAAACATCAAGGATGTCACGAAAACGGACGGGTAGTTAATATGCTCACACAACATAATGATACTCAAACCAGCATGAACAGAGAAATTGCGTTGGTTGTGGTCAAAAGAGGAAGCATCCTTGAGTTACAACTCAGTTTACGGCAGCACATATGATCTGCCAAGGTAGTTGTCAATGAAGTTTTTTTTGGGTGAAATGCACGAGACGCATATCAATCTAGTAGTTTACAATCATCACTATATACATGCGTGTATTCCTACTGTGATATTATTTATACACCTATGCATATGCAGACGTGCGAGGATACAAGCATATGTTCATGTTAAATTGCGGTGTATCTACTTCTGTACTTTAATGTATAGACACATGTGCATCCTTGTAATTTACATCTACAAGGGTCTCTTATGCTGAAATTGTTTATATATCGTGACACCAGATCTAGATTAACCTCAGTTTTTTTATCACCGATACTGCACTCTCCCAGTAAATATGACAAATCAAGATAAAAAAGTATACGCAGACTTCCGGAGAAAATAAAGTACCCAAAATCAACTGTTTGCCATTGTTCTTTTAATGTCTATATAAAATCCGAGTAATGGGATCTAGCAAACACTCTGGCCAATCTATTTCGCTTTGTCAGCAAGCTTGTGGATCGCAGCAATTTTCTTCGTGTTCTCAGTCGTGATGATTCCCATCTCGTGGATCCCGTCCACAAACGCTTTGGTTTTACCTGTAAACCATACACAGATGATGTCATTTTAATGTTCATGAATTAAATTTGGCACATGAACTATGTTAGATACGTGAATCCCCATGATTTTGTGTAGAAACTTGTACATACATAGATATATATAACACTTACACATGTCAACCCCGCTAATAGTAATAGTACCATCTAACGCCAACCCTTTTAAAGGCGGCTTTACACGCTCGGGAACGTGTCAGTGTCGGTACTTTTGCCTCATCCATCATTGAGGTGGATTTGTCGCAAATGATTGGCTAGAAAATACAATTACAAGGCACACCCGCAACGGGTACTAATCTGAAGCAAAGCTCCATCGGAGTTTGCCGCGTCGAGCTTGTACCTCTATCAACGCAAATACAATCACTATACTGCAACAAATTGCTCGTTTAAAGTACACTGGCCCGACCTAGATGATATTCAGTAGTAGTTGACGGTGACAAGCGATAGGCGACCTTGCGCAAGACACCCGTACACATACCGTGGTACTTCTTGCCCTGTAGATCCAGCTGCACGTTGGTGATGCCAGCATACTGTAGGCGGGTGCCCAGTAGACGTCCAACATGGCTACTGGCAGAGACCTGTACGATGTATGGCCATGAGTGTAGTAAGAGATATAGCATTTTTAGTCCGAAAGTAATATGAGGGGCTAGGGTCACGTGGCGCACAAGCAAGTAGAAAGGAGCGTTCAGTTCTATGTTCTTCTATATTCAAGATATAGGTGTCGAGAACTTACTGTGAAACTCCACTGTTTACTGTATAAATGTATGCAAATGGGCAGGTCTATACAAGATAAGCAACGAACCAGCTGTCAACCACCCAGGCGCAAAGCAGGGAAGTAGAAACAACGGGGGACCAGAGGTATGTTCTTGGTGCTATGTTGGCAGTTATATTATTTACACACAGCTAAGGCCTAACAACCACACCTGCAAACTTTGCATACTCGTAGGCGGACGGATATATCTTGCGCATCAGTTATAGATACATAAGACGATCAATTCGAGACAAGTCACTTACATTCCGCGTGCTGTAAAGCTGCTGAAATATCCGGTCGGTGGTTTCTGCGACTATTATGATCTCCTCCGTGTGGTACCCGAGTCTACCTAGTACGTGGGCTTTGGAGAAATCAACGAAAACCTCTGCATAACGTTATGAAGTCAAAGCGGTATACATGATCAGTTTGTAAATCCAACCAGTACAAAGCGAAAAAGTGTACATGTGTATTGCAGGAATACAATACTATTTCGACTGGTGCGTCGTATCTAGTCAATGGCTGCTTGCACATCTGCCCGCTTATACAGCCAGCCCCCCAAGTAGCGAAGTGTGTAGGTGTGCGAGCAATAGCATCTCGTATGCACGTTAAACCGGCGACCACCACTCTTGGTACAGCTATAGCGCATTGTTCAGCCCCAAACTGGCTCAAGCAGAAAAACCCACGTTGTGTGATGTCACTTACTATGGTAATATCCGGGCTCGTGATGGTCCTTGTTAACTCGCTCTAAATACCTAGGGTTTCGATTTGTTTTAGTTGTTGAGAAGGGCTTCGTTTTATCTGCAAAATTGGGTTTTGGAAAACGAACAAAATCAGGCGGTGTACATGAAAGGCAAACGCGCGTGCGGCATACCTAAGTGACAACAAAGGTATGTGTGTGTGTGTGTGTGTGTGTGTGTGTGTGTGTGTGTGTGTGTGT